TGGGCGTTAAAAATTGTTTTTCCAACAGAAAAAAAAAAAAAAAAAAAAAAAAAAAAGCACTTCTCCCCACCTCCCCAAGGCCCAAGAAAAGTAAGAATGTGTCCATAATGAAGAAAAAATAATCTATACATATACCCAGTTTCTCTCTTTATTTACAAAGCAGTAAACCAAATCCCTGTGAGAACATAGATATCCAATATATTATACTATTTTGTATGCCATTTTCCCTCTCACATATGACTTCAGGTTTGGCCACTTAACGTATGCCCCAAATTAGTTCCATCCACATGAATATATGATGGTAAAAAATCTATTTATCACCTTAAAATGTCTCACCACTTAAAGGTAATGGGAACGGAGAAATAGAGATATACCAAAACCTATTCCATCATCCTTATCCTCTCCCACAGCATGTCTCAGAGGTTCAGTGCTTGGGCCGGTCCTTACTATAAACTTGGGCTATTCTGGAAACGTCTCCACTTAGCTCTGTAAGTAAGAATGGCGCCCTCTGCATGTTACAGAAGGAACTTAGTGAATCCAAGCCAGGTGTCCTGAAGGAAAGTGAAGAAATTACTCAAAGAGCTAAACTTTAAAACAAGGAGCCGCTGAGGTCTAGGCATGTTCTGTCTTGAGCTCCTGACACTGTGCAAAACCTGTACGCTGGCCTTAGTCACAGACGAGAAAGCCTAGGAAGCCGCGGCAGCCATGGGTGAGCCGCAAGGCTCTTCCTGACTTACTGGGGTCTCAGGAATAGCCAGACGGGAAAAGATCTGCCACCCCCACTACATGTTTGCACAAACCATGGTGACTGTTTTCTGAGCCAAATTTCCAAAGGCTTCTCTGAGAACTGAGGATAACCCTCTAGTGGACTGTTATAAAATAAATCTTTCTTTATGTATGGACTGGCCATAGATGTGCCTCTTTGCTACAGACTTTTCTCTCTCACGCATACACACATAAATGCGCGTGCGCGCGCACACACACACACTCACACACACACACACACACAGAGTCTGTGTGGTGGGCCAGTCATGCTAAAAATAAATACTCTCGCTTCTCTAAATTATTTATAGAACTAATCTTATTTTTGAAATATGTTAATAAATAATCTAAATGGGGGGGGGTTGGAAGTTGAACTATTTTTTCTTTCCTTTTTTTTTTTTTTTTACTTATGTTGATGGATAGCCACAAAGCATAATCATTTTATTTACAAAAAAACCCAAATCCCCAAACCTAAAAAAGCCCCCTCAAATCAGACATCCTCTGTAAATACAGTTTTTAAATGATGAGTAAAGTACTGTACCATCGGCCCCATTTGGATATGTACATCATGTTAGTCACTCAGCAGTAGCCATTCCATGAATTCCTCATGGGTAGTGCAACCAGTTAAAAAGTGTATAAAACATTATACATATAAAAACTCTCACATCCTTTGGATGTTTGCAGTGCATCATAACTTTGTGGTTACCTTTCTGCAACATAAATTAAAAAAAAGTATACACTCATGCACACACACTCACACACACACTCACACACTCACACAGACCCATATAGATAAGCCATCCATCCAGTCATACACCATCCACAGAGTGTAGTGCATGGGACAGAATTCCAGGAGGCACGAAGGATGGTCCCATCCTCAGGGCAGTCCATCATCTTCCAGGCTTAAAGCCACTCGCTGGGGAGAGAAGCCAAATAAATCATCATTAGATCTGTAAGACTTAGCCACTATTTATCGAGTATCAACAAAGTACCAGACATTCTATTACTTTACAGGTATTAGCTCACATCTTCAAACTCCCAAGATAAGACTTAGCACGTTTATTTTACAGATGACAAAACAGAGACTCGGTGAGCTTCCATAACATTTGCTTGGGTCATATAGCAAGTGACTGAACCAAAATTTGATCCCAGGTCTGTGTGAACCCAGAGCTGTGGCTTTTTCCATCATTTTGTCTCTTTGTAAAGGAGGGTTGCAGAGATCTAAAATGTCTCAGTTCTCCCTTAGAAGATTTCTGGTTTGGCCAACTTCAGTGGGTTAGCTTTTTCAAATATTAAATCCAGGCTACTAGTAGGTCATTGGGAAAGTCATGACATATTTTTCTATGCTTCCCTATGCAAAAATGCATCATGACTTTAATGGTACCCAATGTTGACTGTCTCTAACATGGTAATCACATTAGGAAGGTAATAGGCTGTTCTCCTCCCAACTGATTAAGCACAATTGTCAGGCAACGCGGGCCCATTAAATTCAGCCCTTCTTCCCTCCTTCCCACTTTCCAGTCATTAGATGCTAAACTCCTCTTTGCCACCAGTGGCTGACCAATACATGGCGAGTCCATTCCACTGTGGACAATGGGTTTAAATTCTTTCTTTTATTAATGTGAAATCTATTTCTTCACATTTTGATGTCTTTGATTCTCTCTTAGAGTCAAAGAGAGTTTGACACAGTTCAACCCTTGGAATTTATAATGGGATTTGAATTCCCTTCCCTTCATTCTGAGTGGTTTTGTTTTGTTCTGTTTATTTATTTATTTATTTTTCCTCTCTAGGATAGACACCTAACTTTCAACCAGCTTGTCTGGATGTAATCTCGTTTGCCACTCTTTC